GTTGAACGGCTACCATTACCAGGGGTTTTAAGGGGACTATCCTCTTTCTGTACCTGTGCCAACACCAGAATTGTGCTTGGAACTCCACTGATAGCACTTTCTTTCTGGTTTCCCAGCTTGTATCAGTCATCGCTTCAGTGCTAGAACAGCGAGCTGAATTGTTCCTGGACTTTGTGTCTATACTAGAAAACAGTACCAAACTCTCTTTAGTGTCACTCTGGACCCTCTGCTGTTTTCAGTCTCTCTCTGGACATTAGACTTTCATACTCCCTTCCTCTCTGTGTTTTCTACCAGTCTGAAAATATTTATGGACGCTCTCTTGGTACTGGGAATAGTTCAGATTGTGTGCTTAGCTTTGGGGTGAGCAGTATGGTGGCAGGGCAGGGACCCTTCAGCCTGCTGGTACAGCGGTTTAACTCTGGATGCTCAGTGGCAAACAGCAGCATGGGAAAAGAGGTTAAGGTAAGATGAAACATTTACTCTTCTGTTCAGCCTGGTTGGATTCAGTTGTGTTAATTTTGTGAGATAAATTGGATTCTTTTGTTTGTCTGTGTTTTCATCAGTCAAATGTATTCATTTTTTTCTTGATTTGGTAGCATTTAACATTTGTAATTTTCACAAATGAAAAAAATCTTGGCAATGAAGCTGGTGACAAAACTGAAGTTCCTCTATTGGCCACTTGAGGCTGACTTCAAACTGAGTCAATCCCCATAGACTGTCATATTAGAGTCCCAACGTTACAGCAGAAATAAACAAAGAAAATAAGCCCAGCATAAAAGACATTGTACGTCATTTCCACCTTCATGCACTGCACAGGGGGTTAATTTTTTAAACTAGACCATTTATGTTTTTCTAATGGTATTAAGTTACCATAGCTCGCTGTTAGGCCTCATCTCTTCTAACCGAAGTCAATGAACTGGGCGCTTTAACCTTGTTTGAGCTGTTGCTTATTTGAGTGCATTGAATATCTGATGGTACAATAATGATAAAATAATAGGGCTTGATGTGGAGTTGATTGCATTAACACAGTGTTTTATTCATGTGTTACTCTGCAGTAGTTACCAGGTGTCTGTGTTTTTGAAACACCTTCACTTTCATACTAACCAGTCTAATTTATTACCAGACATGCTCACATATAGTGCCCCCCCCCCCCC